CTCGATTACGGCGCTACGAGGTAATTGCAGCCCCTTTGGGTCTTGGAAGAATTTCTCTGGAACACAAGTCCCAAGATCAGACACTGATATTTCCCTTCTTCCCTGCTTTTCGATTTCGACCTTATTTCCTATTAATATTCTTGCTTCCCTTTCTCTTTAACAATCGCAACCGTCTTTTGTGACGATTGTGACCATGTGAGGCAATCAGCTTTCTTTCTCTTAATTCAGGATACTTAAGCTAAACGAGCGCCCAGCGGAATGACTTCATCAAACCTAAGTCCATCAGTTTTCCTGTTGGATTAGCGTTCGTATTTTGAAGCCAACAGGCTCCAAGACCGATTCCCGTTCCAGATAAAACACGGCGACCTCCTTTCGTCTGTATGAAAGGAAATTGCGCAGTGCAGCACGAAGTTTCACCGCATCACCACTACAGGCACCCATGTTGAAAGTGATAGGATCGTTAAGAAAGGTGCAATTATTTCATCATAAGAAATTTGAACAAATTTCATTCTTGATGTTGGATCTGAATTTAGTGAAGTCGTCACTGGCATGGATTTTCCAGTCTGGGCACTGGGTTGCCCACCGACATCCTGCAAAAATCGCAGCCTAACCTATCCGGTGCCGGAAATGAAACAAGTCCAAATTACTTACGTTTACCTTATGTTCCTCTTCATATCTTAATGTCTCACTCCTGCTATCGCGAATAGAATAGAATAGAATGGAACCGACGCCAGCAAGTCGATATAGACGTGAGACATGGAAGGCAAAGAAACATACTGTGCAGACCAGGAGAGCCGGATATTCAACTGTTTTGATGTCTCTTGGTTCGTCGGCCGGCCCGTTTCCCTCTCTCCTTCATTATACATGTATCATGACATGGCGAATCCATTAGGGGGTGCGAGTAAGCATTGTTGCAGGAAGGTCTGATAATTACATAAACTTGACATAAGAGACTGTCTCGCTATGAATTACGTCCAAATAGCTCTGCAAATGCTGAACACTGTATTAGTTTTGAAGACTACTATGCATCATATAAATTAGTGTGTCAAAATTGTGCTTTTTTTTCAAAATAATTTTTAAAAGGGGCCTCTGATAATTAAAGTATTGGAAAATGGTGAACCTTTCTTTGAATGACGTGAAAGTTAGTGCACGCTTAAAAATTTTTTTTCTAAATTTTTTTCATCTTCGTGTTCATGGACATAACAGCGTTCAGAATAAAATCACAGGTGATCTGCGAGGCCTGCCTTTAAGGTCCAGTGATCCGAAACATAATCGGAAGCCATGTTCACAAACGTGAGCGCGATGCAACAGTGGGTTCAAAAATGCATATTTTAAGAACTGGATTGAGGCATTGCTGGGATTGAAGAGGACCTGGAAAACGACCAGACGACAAACGAGCCAGGGACGACTGCTTCATTACTTTTCTCCATTACGGTGAACGGATCCATTTAGGTGAAAATGATGTAGAGAGTGGATATTGCAATGTTTCATGCTATCTTCCACGCCTTATTTCCTCTTCCCATTCCCATAATTATTAATACATTAATATAATCTCTATCTATCCACGGAATAATGAGTGCAGGGGATAGTCTTAGACGTCGTCTCTCTGGCCAGGTTCCGAGTGTATCAACTGGGAACAGGTATACAAATCCAAAATCCTTCGGCACAAAGCAGAATGAGAATCGTGTATGATATCGTTCCCAATATTAGGAAACAACATGGGAGCGCAAGCATCACCCGCAAAGACATATGACGTGAAGCACGCTGAGCCATGCCCTCCCTGAGAAGTGAATCTTACGCTATAACGAGGGTGGCGCTATATCGAATTATCTACATTATATCCCGTATTATATAGGCCTATGGGGATATAGGTCCACATGAAAAGGTTGGCGATAAACGAGGGTGACGTTATATGGAGTGGCGGTATAACGAGAGATGACTGTATTTCAATTTCTTCACGTGACAGTGATGATACCAGGTTGCAGCGAGATAATAAATTCATTAATATCTTCATGAGGCCCTATAATGTCTACAGCAAGAAGCGTGGTGCAATAGGGTCCTTCTCATGCAGCTTCCAGTCTCACGACGCTCACGTGCACGCTCACGAACTCTAAAATTCATATCCTCCCTTCCTTTCCGAAGGTTCCTGAGTCCAACAAGTTTCATCTATAGAGTATCCATGAAGTTGCGAACTACGAAGAGGGGGGGGGGGGGGAAGAAAAGTTCATGCACTTTATTTTTTATACCCATAACGCTTGCACCTTGACACAGGAAATCTAATTGAATTAGGCCTAATACTAGCTGAATTATAGCTTATGTCGTCCAACAGAAGTTGAGTCCTGGACATTTGAAAGCGATCCGTGCGGAAACCCCGTGCGATGGCTGGGCAATAGTTTCCGAGTCCTCTCTCCCCTCACCCCCCTCCACCCGCTAATTCCTTCCATAACAGAGAAACAGAAATACTGTATATTCATTTTCCTGCATCGTGTGAATTGCAAACTACTCTATAACTAATTAAAATGAGCTAACTAATCCTGTATTTCCCTGTTTCCCTGATAATGAGTGATTTTTATGGCTTTTCGGACTATTATCGAATTCAGTGTGCCACTAGAAAAACTGGCCATGAGATTCGCTCAGACTTCGTGAAAGCGATGGACGCGAATGCTCCTATCGCACAATATTAGGTACTCGTGCAGATCTGTTTCTCAATAGCTCACATTCATACGATGCTCGAAAACAGGAGATTTTTCCTTCCTCTGGTATTCAAATAAATTTGCAGAGGGGCCTCATAACTTTTTCACCGTCCCCTGGATAATAGAGCAATATTTTGCTTTCGGAGCTCGTAAAATACGTAGTTGGGCACCTACATTCTTTATGATGACTCAACCCACAATCATCTCAAACAGAAAATGTAGAATAGATTTTGACGATGAAGTACCGATGAACTTTTCAATCTTGGGGTGTCTCTTAGGGGTTTTATCGTTGCACTTGCACGAACGATGCCAAGAGTGTGTATACGATATCTCAGAACTGTTTTGGGATTCCCACACCTGCAACGACAATACTCTCCGATCGACCGCGGGAATAGCTATCAAGGGATCAATAACTCTTCAAATAACACATCCATCAATTTCTACGGAGTCGTTTTCGATAGAGGGGTAGTCGATAAATTGTACTTCTCTCGTCTTAATGGTGCCTTAGTTGTGGTCGTAAGTACTAACTCAGTACTGGCAGTAGCGATAAGTCCCTAAAATGAAGTAATCAACGGATAAATTAGGCATATGTTTATCTCAAGGTATTACCTAGTGTACATAAGGACTTCGGAGAAGGAAGGAAATGTGGAAATTTTGGAGTTAATTTATGAGTATGAACGTGAGCTGAGGGGTTTCAAGATTGTTTGAATGGGAAAGGGCAATATTGCATTATATTCCTCTAGAAGGCACAATCGCGCCAAAGCCATGAACTATTTCGTCGTGAAAAAGAAAATTAGTTGTCGTTTATTTAGGCTTATCGTTCCGGCCCCAGTCCCGTCCCCCAGGGTTGCCAGATATCGTGCTGGAGTTATGCTGGATTCATTACTGCTTATGCTTTCATATCGGTGCCTGATTCTTCTGTGTTTTGACGCATGATACGTTTTTGTACTGAGTTTATGGGACGAGGTGAGATTGAAACAGTGCTTAGCTGTGACGGATCAATGTAGTGGGGTTTGGAAATATCATGCATGAAACTCCCTGCTGATGGCGTAGAAAATTCATTAAAATTCCGGAGGCAATCTGTCCACAGGAATCAGAGTCGCATCTCACCACCGGGTTTCTTTTAACGCCCCACATGCAAGGCTGGCTCTTAAAAGAAAATGAAAAGTAGCTACGACTGCAGTGGACGTACGAATTAGGAAATAGCACTTGGCGTCCATTTGACATTTGGCTTCAGCGTAGGCCTAGTTACTCTCATATGCCAGCTACGCCTGAGAGTGGAAAAGCTGCAGCTAGTGACCCATAATATCTCTGGAATTCCATGACAACAGGATGGCAACAGACCGGTAACATGATCCCGCTTCCTTTCAATGCTCATTTTCCTTCTTTATTAACCTGACACCACTGGAAGCGGCTAACATTACTCGAGCAAGATTCATGCTCGCGTTCAGTGATTCGCTTGTCGTATTGAGATGGAGAATAAAAAGAAGCCAGGGAAAAATAATTTCGGTGAACATGAGATGTCTCATAGTTGTCTGACAGTATTTCCCAGCGAATAGGTTTTTTTTAATGAGTCGCCTCACTTCTGCTGGGGCCACTCATAAGAAATCTATCTTATCATTCAAAATGTACCTTGAAAGAAATCCGTAAGTTTCGCTCGTCCGTTTCACTGTTGCTTCATCTCGAACTCATTCGAATTTTGGATGTCGGTTTCGTTGATGCCATCGATTGATTGAGACGTCCTTTCGAGGTCGTCATCATTCATCACGAACTGCTACGCAATAAGTTTTCCTTGATATCTGGCCGGCGTAAAGTTGTAGCCTAAATCGATGCTTGTTACAAGCAGCATAGTTTAATTTATTGTTTTAGTGGCGTAACTTCCACCACAGCAGAAGAAGGAAGTTACGAAATGAGTAAGCTTACGATCCATTTTAAGGTCCTGCGTATAGGCCTACAATTGGGAATGACTGATGTTCAGAGGATCGTCTCCTGGAGCACGTCGTGGCTCCCATGAAAAATGAATGCCCGACATAGGTTGTTTCAAACCTTGATTGCCTGTCGCAGGAGCCATGTTCGCAACCGAGTCAGCCCTCTGCTTGCGTGGCATAAGCCAGAATGTTGATTCGCACGTGTTGCCGGGCGACTCCCATTCTGCATGATTGTTCATAGCAGTGTGCCATTCTCCCATATACGAACGATTCTGTTTTAGTTCGCATTCCTTTGAATAGAAAGCAGCCAACTTGCATTCCCTGCCTGTCTATCTGTCCGTGTGTCTTTTGGCACCTTTGCTGGACGATGACTGGGAACATGCGGTGAGATTTGCATTGAGACAAGATGCAGGCTGTGAAATTTGACCCTTGACTACTTCATAATCGGAACCCTATAACCCGCTTTGCTTTCGAATGCCCCTTGAGAAAAAAATAGCCCACTTTTGACTGATCTTTCAGAGACGTGCATTTATCGCTCATGTGGACGTCTTTATACAGCGCCGTACTGAGGATATTTGGCGCCCTGTGCGAGATATCAATCCAGCCCCCCCCCCCCCTCTATACCTCTCCAGCTTCCCCTGCACCATTACGTATTAATTTATATTTAATTTAGTTTAATTCATTATAATTTGCAGTTTTTTTTAAAGTTTTATTCATATTATGTAGCGATTTGGCAGCCAATCGGCCCCCCCCCCCCCCCCCCTTAAAGTCGGCGCCCTGTGCGGGCGCACCGCTTGCAGCCCCCTCGGTACGGCACTGTCTCTATCCACCCCCTTCTGCCTCTTTCCCTAGGAAGCGCATGCGTTCTTCCGCCTCAAAAGACCCGGGGAGAAAAGGACGATGTGAGGGAAGGAGGGGGAGCACTTTTGGTGAGAATGGAGGCCCCCACCTTCAATTCTTGCGCTTTACTCAATGCCTCCTTCAATGGGACTCACGGCATTGGAGAAAATTGCAGCGTTGACTGTGATCACGTGGAAGTCGTTCCTCCGGACGTCCAAATCCTATCCTATGTCATGTATGGCATCATCTTCCTCGTCTCTCTGATCGGGAACGGACTCGTGTGTTACGTCGTCTTCTCCACGCCTCGAATGCACACTGTCACCAACTACTTCATCTTCAACATGGCTGTGGGTGACATTCTCATGACGTGTCTCTGCGTTCCCTTCTCCTTTGCGTCCGCTCTCATTCTTCAGTATTGGCCATTTGGCTGGGAAATGTGTGGTATTGTGAGCTTCAGTCAAGCCGTTTCCGTGTTCGTCAGCGCTTACACTATGGTGGCCATCAGCGTGGACCGATACTTGGCCATCATTTACCCTTTGAAGCCTAGGATGACCCGTTTACAGGCCATGGTGATTGTGGGAGGGGTGTGGTTCGTGGCCGTCGCTACAGCCATGCCGATCGCCATCGTATCGAAACTCGTAAAACCAGACGATCTCTGGTACCAAGTGTGTGACCGATACGTCTGCATGGAAGACTGGGGAGATCAGTTACAGAGCTTCTACTATACCCTGGCCCTCATGATCCTCCAGTATGTCATTCCTTTGCTCACCCTTCTCGTCACATACACGAGGATTGCCATTGTGATCTGGGGGGAGACTCCTTACATGGAAGCAGAACTCGGACGAGCTCAGCGAATGGCCAAGTCGAAACGCAAGGTCAGTCCCTGCATTTATGATTTTCCTACTTATGAAGTATTGAAGAAGTATGAAGATTTGAAGAAGGAATGCCGCTACATATGGTGCACCGCTCCAATTATTATCATATCTCTCCAATGTTACGTATGTTAAAATTCACTCAGAACTACGAAGGACGTTTGAAAACTTTGCAGGTTTTTCCATCAGATTCATCCATCAGCCAGGGATTAACCCAACTCAACCAAACCCCAACCCAATCAGAGGCTAGCCCTAGTTTCACAGATTAGAAGCAAGCTATCCAGCAAACCGGCTAGCTTAAAACGAAAGGATCGTTTGCGAATGAGCCGCCAAATTTTTGCAAAATAATTAGAGAATGAGCTTCCTTGAAGACGTCAAAGTGTTTTTTTTTCTTCAAAAATCACTTTGCTATATCCATTGTTTCTCAATTTATTATGCAATAAACTGCAGTTAAAGACGAAATATTCCTCGTGACTGCCGATTTGCAACTATCTGCATTTCTGAGTCATTTGCCTGGGCTAGTCCCTGGCTTAGGACAGATTTCAGGGAATGGGCTTTGGTCGCTCACTTTTTATTGTAAGGCCGTCTCTTCTCTTCTCCCTCCATCTCTTTCCTTCATTTTTTTTCCCATCAGGGGACAATTGACACAGTTTGTTTTGGTCTGGTCCACAGGCTCGAATTGCAACACATTACTAGTTTTCCAAGTGAATTCTCCCAGTTTTGTGGAATTTCCTCTTTCTCCACTCTTTCCTTATTGAGCCAAGGATTGTGGAAAGATGTTTCGGGTATGGATCCCACTTGAGCCTAATTTCTTTATCGCTGTCCGTTAGGGGTCATTTGCTCTCCTAAGCATCGTCAAATCCATTTTCATAGCGCACTTTTCACTGGTTGCCTTCTTGCAGCATAAGCGTAAGCTTTCTGTAGCTAATGGAGAGTGCATTTGTGGTGATTATGAGATAGACTTAATTTATGGTTACATTCAATTTACAGCCTTTCAGTCATACTTTTTTTTCCTTCTAGCTTATCTTGACTCAAGTGGGTCTTCCGAAAAAGATTTCTATACACTGAAGGTTTGAGCTGGACCGTGCCCCTGATGAGGATCCTGCTATACTTTCAAATCCTAAAGGCTCCTTTCCTTCTTCTCTTTTTAAATTTCAAGAGCCTTGCATTCAGGAGTCGAGTACTTTGGTTAACCAGCTTTGGGATCACATCTCTCTATTCTCTAATAGTTATGATGTATGTTGCTTTCGAGTTTGTCGCGCGCAGCATTATAACTTAGGGCCATGTTGGTTACAGGATGTGTATATTTATTATATATATTTTTTAGATGGGGAGGGGCTAGTTTCTTAATATTTTTCGACGGAGAGAAATGTGCTCAAAAAGGTACTTTACAAAGGAATACTTCCGAGAGGCGGGGGGAAATTTTAGATGAGCTGGTGCTCATCTTCCCAGTGCCCTCAACTCCGCCCTTCCCCCCCCCCTCCGAAAAGAAAATCGAAGAGATTGCAATTTTATTACATATACAATCGTAACTGACTCATGCTGATTACAAATATTTTCCAGGCAAAGTTTAAATTTGAGAAGGTTTAAATTTGATACATATGTTCCAAGAATCTTGATTACATTAAAAAAAAACCTATATTCTGTAGTATTGCACCTTGGAAGCTTTTTATTTTGGGAGGAGGGGGGAAGAAGTTGCCTCGAAATTTTTCCGCTTCAGCAAAACGATTCTTGCAGTTGTGCTTTAAAAGGCACTGTGAGAGCAAAATCCCATGTGGGATCATTGATTGGAAGCTAAGAACCTCCCTACCACCCTCACGCCACACAATAGAAACGTAATATTGGTTGTAGTTTATTCAAAATTCGCCATTGCCCCCAGTTCGTCCTTCTGACGCTGTGACTGTGTCCCTGGCAGGGCGGAAGTCCCATGATGTAAGAACGAAAACTTTCTGAGAACGGAAAGAGAAGGGAGTCAGCAACTTTTCAGTATTTGCCTTTCCTTGAGGAAAGACAAATATAAACTTAAAGTTGCTGACTTTCAGTGGGCATTGACCTCACATTATCGGAAGTAAAATGACGGTGCCTTTGGTGCCTTGGTGAACTTTAGAAGGTGAGAGCGCTGAAGGCACACGTTTCAGATAAATTATTCCATTTACTTACATCGTCGAGTGCCGAGGACGGGTGTTTTGCTTGTTTATTTAAGATTCATAACCTTGTGCAATGAATATAGCATTATCTGGGCGCAATGAATGTAGTATAACGGCCTCTCGTTTGTATGATGTATCAATAATTATTTGAACTCTAATTCAACATTAATTTGGAGCTGGATAAAATCATTTTCAGACCACTTTGCTTTTCGGCCCTTCATTTGAAAGGCTCGACTAGAGTAGCGATCTTAGGATCTAAAATGGTCACGACCCACGACCCATCAAATTCCACGCCAACAGCATGTCATTTGGTTTTATTACTTGGTATTCTCAAAAGAGAAATGAAAGGTGTCTCCTATTCTGTACATCCTGTTTAAAAAAAACTGCGTTCAAAAGTTTATGATTTAACTCGTTTGGCGCCATCCATAGGATCAGGCACGCTTTAAAGAATGAAATAAAGTTTTCTTCCGAAGTTGACGATTCAGTCAACTCATGAATCAAGTAAATAAAATGAACATGAAATGTTCATTTTATGACTCCATATTTTGTGTCTCCCATGTTACTGTTTAAGATACAGGGCTGTAACCTGCTTTGCTCCAGAATTATGCGAATGCTTGTAATTTTCGTTTGTCCAAAACAGTACACTTACCTTTATGGAGTGGCAGTACATTGTTGAAATGATATTAAATCGAATTCAATGGACTTTCTATCAATTATGGCGGGACATTCAGGTATTGAGACTAAAATGAGTGAAAACGGATATACTGGAATAATCGCTCTTTCCAAATTGCAGAATCGCGAAAAGTGTCTTGGCATTCCACAGGTGTGCTTGATCCAAATGTGATGAAGTAATTGCCATTAATTTACATATTGATCCTCTTTCCAATGTTTCTGGTGGAATCTTGGTCCCATGCTTTGACTCAGGGTTTTGAATTTTTAACAGTTAATCACTTATAAAAGCTTAATATACAATGTAACATAATATACACTCCCTGTCAGTGACATAATAATTACAGCGATTTCAACAATGAGATACAATGGGTAACAGAAAATTTTAGATTTTTACTAAAACTTGGAATTTTTCTTGAAGCCTATTTTCATTGTTGACATTTTTTTCACGTAAGAAGTCATTCTCAAAATCTGCTTTGCATCATCTTAAAATGAGATCATAGCAAAATGCTACCTTTGCCATTTTTGCTTAGGGATTTTAGGGAATAGTAGGATTTTTTTCTGAACTCTGCATCCCAATAGGTACTCGTGTACCAAGTTTCAGATTTATAACTTCTCTAGAAGATGGTTAGAATTAGTGTCAGTCAGTCACTCACTCAGTCACTCACGACCGTCTATATATATTAGAGATACCTATCACATAAAAAGTCAGGAACTGAAGTTAATTTGGTGACTTTTTCCCTATTGCGTAAATTGGGATGGTATGGCCCACATGCCACTATGTCGTGTCACAGGATTACAATGCCAAATCGGTGAAGTTACTCAAACCAAAAAATAACTTTCAGAGGTGAATTTGAAGCGCGAGATTCACAACTGGCCGAATTGGAGTAAGTACTGCCAACCAAAGTCATAAAAGGAAGCATACTTTTGTTACATAGTGTGGAAAAGGTGCTTCTTCAGTCAAAATAGGAAGTTGATGCGGAAGTGTAGTTTTTAGGGGGAAAAAAGCCAAATTTGAGAGGCTTGTGACGATTTATCGCTGAAAAACAATAGACTTTCAGAACTACGTTCCTATACCCCTAAGCTAACTTTTTCATAGGTGAGTCCCTACTACAGCGTTTCTCAAACTGTGGGTCGCGACCCCCAGGGGGGTCGCGAAGGGGTCCCAGTGGGATTGGAGATAATTAAGAAATCTCTTTATCTTCACAGATTTCATGAAGCCAGTCGAACCATGTTTTCCGAAATAAAAATTTCTGACGGATTTTTTCTTATTACGGGGAAAAGAAACTCAATTGAGGAATAACCCAATAAGCAATAATAAGCAAGCAATAGGTGCATAGTAGAATAACAGGTGAAAGTAGAGCCACTGCTGCTCTAATAATGACATATCTGGCGATAGCTTTGCCCTTACTCACCCCTGGGGGTAGGGTTGAGTAAAGGCAAAGCTGTCGTCAGAGGTGGAGTGCGTGGGTGTGAGTTATGTCATTGTAGATCCGGTAGCACTAACCTCTTAGCGAAAAAGCCCGAGACTATGGCCTTTTTCCAGTTCGGAAATTAGATGTTGACCCGGTCATTAATAACAGTGAAATTTCGGGGTACCTTTTGCATCAACATGCCGTTGTGAATCTGCATTTTCTTCTTTGGCGGTCATCAAAAGCAAATATAGCAGCCAAATCACAGCTGAAGGTGACCTGTGGATGAGAATCAGCAGCATTGTGCCTCGTTTGGATCGCATTTTCTCAGCAAAGCAGGCACACCGATCGCGCTGAATAATGAGTAGCGCTGATGAATGATGTTTTCAATGCTTTTTACGATTAAAAGTAAACTTAAAGGAGAGTTACATGGCGTTTCATTTCACTTTAATGAACAGCCCAGGATGCTTATCCCATCAAGTTTTTCTATACCATGTCCTGGATTTCTCTTCAGGCTGAAAATTGGGGGTCGCAAGCTTTTGGCTTCGGTGAAACGGGGTCATGGATCCAAAAAGTTTGAGAACCGCTGCCCTACTATTAAAATAAAACTCATCTAACTCGCTTGAAATTTGACACCTAGAGAGATTAGGGTGGGGATGTAGGGACAATGTATGTGGCAGGAGAATGGAATCAAGTAAGATTGAGGAATTTACAGGTTTATGTCAACAATTCCGTTTAACGTGGAACCCCATTCGAGCCACCATTTGTCGAACCCCATCTGTCATTTCAAGTCATCTCTCGTGACGTCCACTTTCGACCGTAATGCTGAGTTATCTCAAATTGCAGCTTTAAGAATTGGACTTCTGAATAGGAAACATGGTTTACATGTTGAGCACTGACTTCGAAGAACACCCTGCTGTACGTTCGCTTCAACAAAGCATTTCTCGACTCAGGATAAGAAGGAATAGGTTAGGCTTCACGACAAGGGGAATCTGTTGGACGAGTGGATGAAGAAAGTTTCAGCACCGGCAGACTGTTTTCTTTGGTGGATTTCCCCCTATGCGTATTTCCAGCTGTTGGAATTATGTCCACCAGGGACACACGTGTGCGAATGGATAGGTGGATTTCCACCGGGTGGATCCACCCCCTATCCACCTGGTTCTTCAGCCAGGTTGATGCATGTGGAGGTTTTATAAGGGATACCTCACTGATGAACATCAATGCGGAAAAAATAAAAGAAACCCAAGAGCATGCGTACTAAAGACAACTTCTCGAGATGAACATTGATCCCAGCTATGAAATCAAGAACAGATCTGAAGCTGGATGGAGTGTCACTCGGAAGAGGAACATGATCATTCCTCAAGAGTAAGCTGTCCGCATGTCGAAAGATGAAAGTCTTATCTCTTAGTCGGTGTGTATTACTTCCCGTGACGTATTGGTCCAAGGCTTAGGCATCAAAGAATAATATGGAAGAGTAGCCGAACGATGCGGGAGAGGAGGGAGAGATCGATAAATGGGATTACCAGAAGAGACAATGAGATTTTTTGGATGAGGGAAAGGACACTATTCCAGGACATTCCGCAAGCTAGGAAGAGCAAATAGATCTGGACTAGGTACCTCACACGAACCGGACTTGGTCGATAATCGAAATCAAATGCCGAATGACGATCAAGAGAGGAAACATATCCAGAGGAAGACAAAAGAAAAGATGGAGAGATGAAATTAGAAATTTCGAAGTAATGAATGAGAGCAGCTCAGGACAGAATGAGATGTTGTAAACATGGATAGGCCCTCGTCATACAGTGAAAATGGCTCATGATGATGATGATAATGAAGATCCACCCGATGGACTATACCATTCGCAACTTGGAACATCGAATATTAACCCTTGAAGCGACAGCAGCCGATCAATCGGCAGTTCACCCCGTCACAGGGTTTAACCTTGCCGCTTCTAGGGTTAAAGCAACATCCACAAAAAAGTAGATGAGTCATCTTTTATGAATTAAATTAAAGTCGTATTTGGCTAGGGGTGGTCCAAAGGTCTTGCCTTGCATGCTAGAAAACTTTTTACATCAGGGTGACCAAGTGTCGTGATTCAAGTTAGTCCAGACCAGATCTGTTTGAGCTCAGATAAATGAGTTCAAAGAAACTCCGTCACGAGCCTTCCAGGCTCGTGACGGATAACAGTGCAACTTCATCATGGCTGAAATTTAAATATCCTTATGTTGGGAAAGGCACTCGGCATCGCAGTTCCTGTGCCTTAAAAGCGTAACCTTTGGTGGAAGTGAATGAAGCCCTTTCTTGGGCGGGAGTGAGTGTAAGTTACAGTATACCATAGCTACTTCGGTTCGGAAACTTACTCTTCTTCAGGCTTAACGTATCCGTATGAATACTAATGTCTGAAAGGCAGTATTTATCAGTGTTTTATCTTTTTTAAAAATAATATTTATTTTCGATGCTGGTGAAATAGTTCACTCAAAAATTAGCTTTCGAACTTAGGAGCAACGAAAAGATTGGATGTTAGGCATTCAGCACAAATCAACAATATGGAAAACACTGATACGGTGATCCAGGCTTGTCCAGACTTGATCAGCAAGTAAGTCCAATTGCGTGAATTCTAAGATTTTCAGACATGACTGCAGAGAGACGCCATAGTAACTAATATATATATATATATTAGTACTAGTCCCCGAACTAGCCCCGAGGGAGTACTTGTACAGGCACGACCAAGTGTGCAAATATGTGCATTGGTGTGTCTCAAAGCAAGCCGGCCTGGAAGTCCCAGGAAAGTGGTACGACCACC